GAACAACAAGTATGCTTAATTTTCTTAATTACTAGCTGAATTCCACAAACATCCCAAACTCAACATTCCCAGAACTGAACAATTCACAATGTTCTTCCAACACTGCTAAACTTGTTTTCCAATCCTCCCTCCTGACAAGTAGGGAATCTACCTACTCAGTCACCTATGCCAGACATCTTAGAGTCAAAGATCTTTAACAATTCCTTTCATAGCCCTCAAATAAAGCAATCATCAAATCCTACTGAATACTCTACTTTTCAAATACTTCCCCTTTTCTGTGACTTTATTTTCTTCAACTACTGAGTCCGAGGTTTTCCTACCTTCCACACTAGTGTCAATTTCACCACAAATGGTCCATTTCTCCCACAGCTGAGTTTTCAATTCATTGACAGCTTCCTCCTCACCTAAGGAAAAAGCCCACGTTCCTCAAATGGCCTATACTGTATTTTCCCTCTGGTCCCCACCAGTGCTTTTTACTTACTCTCTTTTATCACTCCAGTCTCCAAAATGCATTCTCCATTTAATCATGGTGATCTATCTATAGAATCTTGAATCCAGGCACAGATAACAGATCCTGTCTCACAATGCATGATTCTGCATATGTTATTCCCTAGTGTTTAAACACTTGCCTTGACTTCTGCCACTTCAGGGATTTTTTTTAATCTGTCAAGACTCTGCCAGAAACCATGTTTTCTGTGAAGTATTCTCAAGCCCAATATTCAGACAGATTTAGACTCACCAATAATGCTCTGTACATAGCTCTTTATATGCAGCTATAAGATTACATATGCTGTTTTGCTTGTGTTTCTCACAAAGAAATTTAAATTTGAAGCTAGGAATCAAAACACATTTATCATTGTATGACCCATACCAAATCCATTACATAAAATGAATTAGTGTTTGCTATATAATTTCTAAGTAATGAACAATGAAACTCTTTAAAAAAACTTCAGCCAGTGAATTGCAATGCCAACTCTTTCCAAATATACTTTCCTTGAAAAGGGTCATATTATTCAAGTGACATGCATTCTTCCATGTTTTGTTTTGGGTGGTTGGGGGGGTTGCCAAGATTTCAGTAGCATTTCATCCTGAAAGTAAACCTTTGTGGTAAGATAACCATGTATTCAGGCAAGAAGTGAGGGTGGAAGACTAAAAACATTGAAGTAATTTACTCTAGTCTCATAACAGAAGCAACACTCAAGTTTATTCTTTCTCAGTACATTGCCTTATCAACTGAGCAAGAGATTTTCAAATCATCTTCAACAATCCCCAAGGTCTTGTGGAAAGAAAAAGCAGGCACCCTACCACATTCACACATATACATATTCAATCAGAGTAATGGACTTTTATCTTATATAATGCTTTGCTGCAACATTTTGGTGGAGGTGAGGACACAGTTTTCTACTTTTACTGCTGCTTTAAATTTTGTGAAAATCCAAACTGTCTTATCTATGACTTTCAGATATAAGCCATCTAATGTCAAGGAGTGCTCCAGGTGTATTATCGGGCTGATATTTGCTCCAGGTGTATTATCGGGCTGATATATGAAAGTCTTGTTTGGGGGTATATGACCGGGCTTGTTAATTCCATGACCAAAATTCCTGACATAAACAACTCAAGAGGGGGAAGATATGTTTTGGCTTATGATTTCAGTAGCTTTTTGTCCATGGTCTCCTAACCCCACATGCTTAGGTAAAGCATCATGGTGGTAAGAGTGACAGCACCCACATGAAGGCTGACCAAAATGCGAGCTGTTTATTGAGTAGCACACAGGAAGCAGAGACGGGACTGTTGATCCTTTGCTGGTTTTCTTCTCTTATCCCTTGGAGTCAATCTGAGACCCTGGCCAAGGGGATGGTGCCACCCACATTAGAACTAGATCTTCCCTTCAGTTAACCCTCCCTGGAAATGCCTTAACAGAAGTATACCCACATGTGTCCTCAGTAATTTCCTAGATTATCCTAACTCCAGCCAACTTGACAAAGAAGACTACTCATCACAGGAGCAAATAGACTAAAGAAAAAAAACCAGCTGTAATAAAAATCTAATAATTAGGTATCTTTCTTACTGTAATTCCCTTTTCAACTAATCATCCTATAAAAGTCCAAAAATATGTGTTAACATACTTTCCTTTACAATTGCTAACAACGTCCACAAGCTGACCTCTGTCGTATCAGTCCTCAGCTTCTCATCATTAATTTTTGTTGTTCTTTTGAGACGGTTTCTCTGTGTAATCTTGGCCATCCTGGAACTTGCTCTGTAGACCAAGCTGGCCTCAAACTCAGAGATTCACCTGCCTCTACTTCCCGAGTGCTGGGATTATGAGTGTACATCACCAACGCCCATTCAGTTTCTTACAATTCTTGAACCATGTCAGATACGAGAATCACTGTTAGATACACAGCTCATACCATTAAGAAGAACAAGAATGCTTTGGACCTTGGTCACAGTAATACATCTGTTATCCTGAGTGCTCATGTCATTTTCACAAAGAGTAACAAATATCTGACTCTTCTCAAAAACCTCATAGGTTTTCCTGTAACAGACCCCAGGGAACAGACCACAATATCTTATAATTCTAGCACATGACACAACAAAAGGGTCTTCTCTAATCATTCAGTCTTGTATCTTTATCAAACACAAGGTTATCGAGGGAGGGCTTGACTGAAAGCTCAGGCCCTTGTTTTAACTTCCCTTTGTTCCCTAACAAAGTGTCACTTATTAGCTACACACATTCATTTGGACTGTTCTGGCTTAGTCTGCAACCGATTTGTGCTAATGTAGTTTGTGGGAGTGGATGGTTAACCACTTAGTCCTCAGCCTCTGCCTTCCTCATCTTTTGCCGGACACCTGCAAGAAAGCACAAGTTCCTGCAGAAGGAGGAGAGCACAAACTTTGGGTTGATATATGACAATATTATGGGGTAAAAGACCATGCTGAGCTCCACTTGCAGAAATGCAGTTTCCATCACCAGAGGTTCATGAGTTTAGGGATCCATTAGATTTCTATTTCCTTTAGCTTTTCCCATGACAGGAACCTAATCTGTTATTGCCAGTTGACGGACCCGAGATTCAGGATGAACTTTCTTAACCCAAAAGAGACCTAAGAAGAGCAATTAATCACAGACTAAAGCTCTTTCACCTATACACAAACTTTCTTCGAGATCTCCTGGTGATAGAGTCATTCATATTCAGGGAAAAGGAACCAAGTAAGAGAAAAGGGGAATTAAACTAACAAATATGTCTTCAAAATGTCACTGCCTGCTGTTATTCTTTAACCAAGTGATAACTAGTTTAGCTACAATATTGCTTTGTCTTTTCATTCATCTTAGGGTTGAGAGAAGTTAAAATGGGGGCCTAAGCTTTCAGTCAAGTCCTCAATAATCTTAAATTTGTTAAAGAAGAGTTTGTTAGAGAAGATCCTCCTGTTGTATCAGGTACTAGGATTATAAGACATTGTGGTCTGTTGTGAACAGTGATAGGTATGTATTGCCCCACTGACATCCTCATTTGGCAGCCTCCTAAACCACTTGGGACCCAAATCAAAGATGGAAAGAAGCCAATACCCTGGCATTAATACCTATCCCAATGACAGGATGTCTTCTAATTGTCCTCAGAAGCTATGTTCTTGCTTTAGACCCACTCAAGAGTATAGGGGAGATCCTTTAGTAGTCTATTGTTAAAACCAAACCCTTTCCTGTAAGTTCCTCTACTGTGCTTGATTTAAGAGATGAAACTTGTTGGACCATTTGCCTTAGTAAGACCACTCTGAAAATAATAAGGAATGGCTACCACCTGAATGCCCTCTAGATATTCTCTACTCTACTATTTTGGATCTACAGGGAAGGAGGAAACTTTAGTGTAAACCGGCATAAGCATCCAATCTCTGAGTGCCCAGATACACAGAAGGTCTGCTTATGAGGCTGAATTACTTGACAGGATCTAGTATTATAAAGTCTTCCTTTGCTGAGCCAGGTAAGACAATTCCCTTCACCAGGAGTTTAAAGCTACCCCCCAGTGACCAGTGTAAGGTATTCATGCAAGTAGGAGCTTCATTAAGACAAACAGGAGGTTTTTACCTGTAGATATGAGTACCAAGCTTGGTACAATGAAGGCAGGCAATAAGTAAATGCTGAATGAGCAACTGCACCTGTAGAAACACGAGTATCTGGTCCTACTGCCAATTTTTTTGTTTAGGAACGCTGACATGTAAATCTTATGCTTGTGGAGGGGAGGGGAGGGTCATGGAAGTAACAGAGAGGTAGAGAATATAAAAGCACAAGACAATGGAACAGCAAGAATCAGGAATAGGCTAAGGCTTGCATTCTCTGTTAATCTTACAAAGGTCAGTGGTACTGCAAGGACTAGAAATGTAGCCTAGTGCTTGCTTAACACACATAAGAATTCCATTTATTAGCCGGGTGTTGGTGGCCTCCAGCACTCAGGAGGCAGAGGTGGGTGGATCTCTGTGAGTTTGAGACCATCCTGGTCTGCAAGAGCTAGTTCCAGGACAGCTCCAAAGCCACAGAGAAACCCTGTCTCGAAAAACAAACAAAAAAGGAATTCCATTTATTTATTTACTTATTTTTGAGAAAGGATTTCTCTGTGTAGCCCTGATTGTCCAAGAACATGCTCTGTAGATCAGGCTGGCCTTGAACTCACAGAGATCTGGCTGCCTCTGCTTCCTGAGTGCTGGGATCAAAGATGTGTGCCACCACCACCTGGTAAAAAGGTGATTTTAAAATAATTCTCTCCCCTTCCAGACCCCATGAACATGGGTGTCAGTGAGGAGACCTCGGAAATCTATGGGGCCTCTTGTAGTAGATCAGTACTTATCCCTAGTATAGGTGTGGACTTTGGGAATCCATTTCACACAGAGGGATACTCCCTGAGCCAAGACACACAGGGGAGGGCCCAGGCCCTATCCCAGAGGATATGATAGACTCTGAACCCCCTATGGAAGGCCTCACCCTCCATGGGGAGCAGAAAGGGTATGGGATGGGTAGGTGTTAGTTAGTGGGGGCAGGGGAGGAGGGGAGGGAGAGGGAACTGGGATTGACATGTAAAACAATCTTGTTTCTAATTCAAATAAAAAATGGAGAAAAATAAATCACTGTAAGCAGCATAGAATGTCAACGAGGTCAATTTTAAAGTGCTGAATGTTAGCATATAGTTGATGATACAACTAAAATCTAAGGTATATTTGACACTGTGTACAAGTTAAGCATGCTACATTGCAGAAGAATAGAGTGGTATGAAGATTTATGTAGAATAATTCATCAAAAATAATTAAAACAGTTTCTTGTGGGCAAAAAAAATCTCTCCCCTTAAAAATGAAAACTTCTAAAAGATTTTTTTCCACACATATAAATCAAGCTTTAGATTGGCTTTCACCTACCAATATTGTGTCATTTCCTTTGGATTCATTCACAAATGTTCATGGAGTACTTTCTGTCATGTGCCAAGTACAATATATAGTGAAGAAAAGCATCCCCTGCCCTCACAGGTCCTACAGTATGGCAGGAGAGATAAAATTTGATTAAGTTGTTAGCTAGTAGAAAAATGGAGTAAATGTGCAGGTATTGTGGACAATGTATCTATGGTGGAAGCTGGGAAAGATGTCCCAGAAATCTTTCCTGGAACAGAGACTTGTAACCTGAATAAAGAAAAAGGAACAGAAACATCCAAAGAAACAAAAATGTCAGGAGTAAGATGGGGTTTTGTTGTTTGTTTTGAGACAGGATTTTTCTATATAGCCCCAGCTATCCTGTAAGTCACTATGTAAGTCACTATGCCGGACTGAAAATCACAGAGATCTGCCTGCCTCTCCCTCTAGTGCTGAGCAGTAGCTAGACAGTTTTAAAAGGGCAAGTGAAAGAACAGTTTTAAATTTTGCCTAAAGAAAGGGAAAAACAATCAAACAAATCTTCCTGACTTGTATAATGTAGAGAAACTTGCTTAGTTCATCAAGTGAAAATGGTGGTATCTTGAAAAGGCAAAAGCAGAGGGTGCTATAGTAACAGAAAACAAGGTCCTTAACTTGGTCCTGGAGATAAGGCAGGAACACTGTGAGCAAGCGACACTTACAGGGAGACTTGAATACTGGATTAGCCATGATGAGGAATGTAAGGAGGTAAGAAATGAAGAGAGTCTGTGGCATATTAACCTATTGCTTCAGTCAAAGCAGGTCTCAATTTTACTAATAATGTTGTTCTGCCTGAAATACCAGATGCCTTTATGTCATAGCCATCATGTCTAACTTATGGCACTTCTCTCAAATCCCACTTTCTGTGATCATAGCCAGATATATTGCTTCGATAATTCTATTCCAAGTTTGTCACTTAGTATTTTAAAATGTCTATTATTTGCCGAGCACAGTATTATGTGCTTCTAATCCCAGCACTGTGGATATGAGGCAGGAGGGATATTCAAGAGTACAAGGCCACCTTTGGCTACATAGCAAGTTCAAAGGTAGCCTGGGCTACATGAAACCCTGTCTCAGAAACAAAGAAACAAACAAAGTCTATTTGGTGTTAAGGCTCAACATCACACATATCCCTAAACTCCTTATGAGACCCTTGAATGTGTAAGCTGTCCTCTATTACTTTAGTATCACCCAGAATAGCTAGCATGGAGATGAGCATGCATGTCTGCTAATGAAGGAGTGGATGCTACACTGGAGTCTCTGAAGCCCCCTTTGTGATTCCCTATTACCTGGAAGGTTTACACAGGGAAGGGGTCTGCTTTTCCTAAAATGTTTCTACTATTTTCATCAAAAGATCTAAGATCTGAAATACACAACTCCCTCCCAATTGGTCTCTACTCCTCACGCCTTTGCAATTGTGCCCCTTCCCCCACTCTACCTTCTATTGTTTCTTCTGTCTCCTGGTTGTCAGCCAGGATGAGAGAATGGTCTAGCTGTCCTCAGAGACTTACGCCAGCCTGGACTGCTCTGCAGTGCCATGAAGGGCCAGGACTTTTGTTTACAGCTGGGAGCCTGGTGAGGCGGTGAGCACAGCTGACAGCCCCACTCTGGAGCAAACATCAATTTTTCTCTGTCCTCTTAGCCAAGTTTCACAGTCTGGCTTTATTGAAAGCTGGCTGTACCCTCCTGGGTCTCACTGCCATCCCACCCAGAACTCCAGGCTGGGAGCGGGTTTATACCTTTTAGGAACTGTTCTTACTTTCTTCTCGGTTCTCAATTATTAATCGTTTTACCTCAACCTCAGGGTCTTGAAGGAACACATCCTCTGAGGTCCCCATATTTGAAGCCGTATCTGCTCTGTCACAGAAGTATATAAACAGCCTCACTTGCTTAGCCATATGGTAAAACACTGCTGCAAATAGATCAAAAGCACTGTTTCAATGTGTAGTTTGTAGAACCTGCCATTGTAAGCAGGACGGTAAGATACCTATTCTTTAAACGTTTGTACTTTCACACACATGTGCATGTTCACATACTTTGCTTTCAGATGGTCTTCCTGCTCTTAAAAACCCAGTACTCAGGAGGAAAAAGCAGGTGTATCTCTGTGAGTTTGAGTCCAGCCTGGTCTACAGAGCGAGTTTTCAGGACAGGCTCCATAGCTATAGAGAAACCTTGTCTCAAAAAAGCAAAAAACCAACCTGTAACTAAGGTAGGAAAAAAGCATCTTTTAAAAATAGATATGACATCCTCTGTCTCATACTCTGCAATCTGATCTCCTGTTTCCGTAGCAGCTTTGCCTTCTACAGCACTCACGGAGGGTGAGTGCAAATCTCTCATATACTCTCAGCCCTCTCTTGCCTCTAGTGTCCATTTGCCTGTGATTTTCTGCCTTCCGGCTAACAGTTTCACCAATGAGTGGAAAGTTCTTTCTGTGGTTCTCAACCTTTCTCTGGTCCTAATTGCCTGAAGGACTGTAAGACGTCACTTACAGTAGCTCATTACAGCAAAGGCTTCTTATGGCATCTGGTGGAGGGCAAGAGGTGAGAAGAGGCTGTCCTTTAAGGAGACCTTATCAGTATCTAGTAGAGAAGTTCTGTTTTTGGTTTTTCAATTTGACATGGCCCATGCCTACTAAAGAGTATAAACTACACCCGATGTCTTAAGAAGTACTCTTCTAAAGAGAAACCCATGTTGTACTCTAATCCATGACTGATGAAACACTTTTTAATTTTTCTTCTTTACAGAATTATTTTTATTTTATTTTGGCTTTTTGAGACAGTTTCTCTGTGTAGCTTTGGAGCCTATCCTGGCACTCGCTCTGAAGACCAGGCTGGCCTTGAACTCACAGAGATCTGCTTGCCTCTGTCTCCCAAGTGCTGGCATTAAAGGTTTGCACCACCAATGCCTGGCTAAAGAATTATTTTATTAAGGAAACATTCAAAACTCTACAAAAGTAGGGAAATAATACAAGCAACCTCATGTCTAGCATTAAACAATTTAGATATATACTTTGAAGAAATACTGGCTTGTTCTCTTAAATATGGCAATTAATAAATAGTTTATCAATTCTAGTAAAATGTAGACTCTGGGTAGAAATTACAAACATAAGAAACTTAGCTGGAGCTGGGAGTTGGTGGCACATGCCTTTAATCATAGCACTTGGGAGGCAGAGGCAGGTGGATCTTTGTGAGTTCAGGCAGCCTGGTCTACAGAGTGAGTTCCAAGATAGCCTTCAAAGCTACATAGAGAAACCCTGTCTCAAAAAGCAAAAAAAATGAAAGAACGAGAGGGGGGGAGGGAGGGAGGAAGGAGGGAGGGAGGGGGAATGGAAGGAATAAAGAAAGAAAGGAAGGAAGGAAGGAAGGAAGGAAGGAATGAAGAAGAGAAAAGAAAAGAAAAGAAACTTAGCAGGAGAAAAATGATTCAAAGCAACCTCTTGATGCAAAGTTCGAACTAAAGGCATCAACAATCACCTGCGGAAAAACAGTCTTTATCTTTCTGAGTTAATGTATACCATGGGTGGCTTTAAGTGATCCTTCCAAGTAAAGTGTGGTGCTGACAAAGTCATGAAGTTTAGCACGCTCCAAGCTGAACTATTAACTCAGGAGGAGAAAAACAAGGGATCATGTGCAAGTCTGGAATCTCAAGGTCATCTAAGGTCATCGCTGACTAGGTTCAATTCTCAATGGTTTGCTCATCTGAAATAAACTTTTCTACGTCAAATGGAGCCATGAGGTGGTAGTTTAATTACAGAAGAGAAAAACAGATAACACTAAAAGGCCAAAATTTTCCCCTTGACTATTTCTATTTGCTTTGCCATGGGCTAACAAATGCGACTGATCCAGAGAAATTTGCGGGACTGGCTTTATAAAATTTCTATGAAATGAGGTGGTATAAGCCGACAGAAGGAAAGACATCCTTATTATAGTAATTCAGTTTTGCTTGGCTTTGAAACATTAAGATTTGTTTTTAACTTGTACATTAGACAATCATTTTAAGACATATTAAATAAGATAATCAGAACCAATTTTAAATACTCTTTTTAGATGTATGTATTTAATTGTACATTTCTGAGTGCTTTGCCTGCATATATGCATGTACACCACATGTGTGCCTTGTGTCCACAGGGGTCAGAAAAAGATGTCAAGCCCCAATGAACTGGAGTTATAGACTGTTCTGAGCCACCACATGAGTGCTGAGAAGTGAACCCTAGTCTTCTGCAAGAGCAGTGAGTGCTCTTAAATGCTGAGCCATCTCTCCTGCTTTGACTTGATATTTTTAAAGTTTGGTTCTGATTTAGGGGTGGAGCACCCATTTATTGGCTCCCAATTGTATGTACTACCAGTCCAAGGGGATCCAATGCCCTCTTCTGGCCTCCACGGGCACCAGGAACATGCTCAGTGCACACACATGCATGTAGACGAATCACCCATACAAAAATAAAATTATATGTGATATCAAATAAAGCTTAGGATAGAGTGAATTTTTTTACTACTTGTAAGACATGGGAAGACACTGGGACTAGACAATAGAATGGTCTGACCACTACTGACCACTACCTTTTGGACCAAGGATAGTTTTCTTACAAGTAATACAAGTAATACAAGTAAAGACTACATATCCTGACAGGCATGTTACACGCTATACAATGGTACTCAACTAAGAGAATAAAATTCCTGGCTGAAAGTCTTTTTTCAACTAACTGCCCTGGTTAGGTTACACAAGGAGAGGGACATTTTTCTCACTGTTCCATTGGAGTGCACATATTTCTGCACTGTGTCTGCCCATAGGTGGCCTATGATTCTGATTACCATAAAGGCACTGTATGAGCTAATGGTGGTCTTGCAAACTAATGCAGTGTCCATAGAACCCCTGAATACCCTGTGAGGGCTGAGACCTTAAATAGTTTCAGTCTGGCCTTGGGCCTTCGAACCAAATAAAATGAAGCTATCTTTCTCTTCCAGTTGAAATCATGTGAAGGCAACAGTATAGCTGTAAATTCTAAAAAAGAATGTTTCTCATTTTCTGAGAACTGACTATAAGTGAAGAATCTACTTGAGGCTTTACCCAACTAAGTTAAGGTTGCAGGGCAATAGTCACATTGATGGGGTAACATAGCATAACAGGGAAAAGCCTGGGCTTTAAAGTCAGAGACAAGTCTGGTCTTGTGCTGCAATTTACTGGTTGAGCAACTTTAGGTGACTATTTAACTTCTCTGGGCTTCCGTGAGGATTTGCTAAGATAACAGATGGAAAGAGCTGAGTCCTGTGCTACCTTGAATACATAGAGCATTGTTTCTAGGCCATTTTTGTTACCACTCTGATTCTAAAACTATTTCACATTATTTATGATCTTGCTTTTGCAACCCTACCCAGGAAAGTACAAGGATAGCCCTATTAGAAAACTGTAGTAACAGTCAGAAATGCAGGTTCCAGTACCAGACATGGCCCTTGTTAAAGTACCTTGGGTAACTCACCTTCCTCTCCCAATGCTATCAACAAAATGGATCACCCTAGCTCTGATCTTGAGAAGAGCAGGAAAAAATACCCCATTTGGAGGGCATCTGTCAAAAGACATGCATTATAATACTAGGCTCTTTTCCATACCTTCTGTCATCTAAATCAGCACTGTCTAGCAGAACATTCAGAGATGCTGGAAGTGATCTGTATCCAAATTTAGACAACAGCTAGTAACAATATGTAGCTACCTTTGAAGTATAGCCAGAACAAGCAACTAAATCGATTTTTTTTCAGTCTAATGAATTTTGATTTAAATAGTCACACATGCTACTTGGATACTTTCTTATATACGGTGGCTCTAACATGATAAAATTAAAATGTTTGTTCCCATCTCATGCATAGGTGGTATGACACTGAAGTTTATAAAATCTAAGAGAACTTGTTTTAAGAATCACTCAAATTCGGAAAAACTTTGAAATCTGAACCACTTATGGCCTTGAACACACTGTTATTCTACAAAGCACCCCAATGCAGTGTGTCATAATACTTGGTCAGCGTCACTCAATGTCAGATTTCTCGAATTGGTTCTAAAAGTGCTTGGATGAGTCAAAATCCTGCCATTGGACTGCCTGAGAGGAGGAGACCTAGAGAGTGCATATCTGGTGTCAGATAAAACCTGGCCAAAATACAAGAGAGAGACTTCTCTACATTTTCATTGGATCAAAAAGTATCAATGGCTCACAAATAAAAAGGAAGAAAAAAATCACCTAAATAGAAACTAAACCAGAGAACTAGAAAGCTTAATTGAATACTAGAATTACAAATGCCTGGAATATTCAGATTTTATCACTTGTAAAGTAACTGAACACCAGAACTCACTTTCATTACTATAAAATGATATTAAGTTTCACCTAAGCTTACTGGGATTTATGTATAAAACAGAGTGAGTGACCCATAATGGGTTTTCAAATCTCTGCTTTACTCACCACCCTCAGGCCTTTATTATACATAAAATATTATGACACAAGCTGAAATGGATAACTACAGAATTGAAAGAGCATTGAGAAAAAAGAAATAACAAGGAGGCCACTCCTAGGCTTTTGTGTTATACCCTATTATAGAAGGGAGAGGAAGAAAGATATGAAAATCATCAAGCTATTTCCGCATACTTAGTTTGCTCTCCTACTAGCTTCTTAATGGTTCAGTCAACATTAATCAAAGAAGAGAACGATCTGTAAGGTAAAGATTCTTTCAGACTTTGACAGATAAACACTATGGTGACACATTCCTTAATCTGCAAAACGAGACTGATACTACGCAGGGTATCCCAGAACATGTAAGCCCTTTTCATTTGCTTTACATTCTATGGCACCCTCTAGTGGTGTACAAAAAGTGTTGCATTTTTGCCCTCCAAAGCAGAGGTTCCTAAATTTTAGAGAGCCCCCGGATTCATCAGGACAATTTGTATTGGTATGGATTCCCAAACTCCATCCAGAGAACCTTTGATTTACGACATTTGAGATAGGGCCTAAGAATCTAATTTTCTGATAACTTACCAGGTGATGCTGATGCTTCTGGTTTGCCTGAGAAATACAGTTCTAAACTGTTCTAGAAACTTCATCATTATGGCTGGAGAGATGGCTCAGCAATTAAGACCACTTGCTGCTCTTCTCGAGGAGCCAAGTTAGGTTCCCAGCATCCATGTCAGGTGTCTCAGAACAGTCTGTGATTCCAGCTCCAGGGGATCTGATGCCTCTGAGCTCTGAACTCATGTCACGTACCCACACGCAGATATATACACCTACACATATATAAAAGCAATGAAATTAAAATCCTAAAAAAACTTCACCCATATGTGTACAAATAGATATCGTTGATAACTAGAACAGATATTTGTCAGTTGATTATGGTGTACAATTTTGTTAAGAAAAAAAAGGCCAGGTGTTGGTGGCTCACACCTTTAATCCCAGCAGAGGCAGGCGGATCTCTGTGAGTTCAGGGCCACCCTGGTCTACAGAGCGAGTGCCAGGACAGGCTCCAAAGCTACACAGAGAAACCCTGTCTCAAAAAACAACAACAACAAAAAGGCAAATGGGGAAAAAGACCCTTAATACCCAGGAGTTGCTCAATAGGTGTTATTTTTCAAAAAGCCAGTGGTGTTGGCACATGCCTTTAATCCCAGCACCTGGGGAGGCAGAGGCAGGTGGATCTCTGAGTTCAAGACCAGCCTGGTCTACATAGTGAGTGCCAGGATAGGCTCCAAAGCTACACAGAGAAACCCTGTTTCGAAACACCACCCCCCCCCAAAAAAAAGAAAAGAAAAAATATTTAATATAACATCTAAAATACAGAAAATATTTAAAAAATTGAGGGTCTGGCTGGGAAGATGTCTCAGGGGGCAAAGCATCTGCTGTTCAACCATGACGACCTAAGTTCCATTCCTTAGAAACTATATAAAAGCTGAACATGGGACTCGTATCTGTAACCCCAGTGTTTTAAGGGGGATTATTGCTAGGGATAGGCAGATCCTAGGAGCTTGATGACAAGCCAGGATCTTGTAGCCCATATAGAATACTCCAAGTATACTGAGTGACGCTGCCTCAAAATATAAGGTGGACAGAAATAGAGGAAGAGACCTAAAATGAAGCTGACCTTTAGCCTCAACAAGAACAGGCAAGCACTCCTGCACACATGTGCTTATACACGGAAATAAAAAAAAATCAGGGCTACATCATCATTTGCCCTGAAACACAAGGCAAGTAAGTATGAAATATGTTTCACTATTTACTATCTGACTCTAAAGATACAAGTTATGCAAAATGGAATGAGCACGAGCAAAGTAAAAAAAAAAAATGCCTTTTAGACATGTAAAAACAGCTTAGTCAGGAAATGCTCTACACCCGAGGCTGCATCTGATAACCAGAACCCAGTGACATCACTCACTCAAGATAACCAGACACAGTCCTAGAATCCTATGACGCTCTGGCCACTATATAAGCAGAGACCAGGAGCTTGTTCGTCCTCTGTGCACCTGGAGAGACGACACCTTGATCTACCCTGCGGCTGGTGAGTCTCCCCGGGGATCCTGACCCTAGAATCAGAGACTTTTGTTAGAGACTCTCAACTGATCTTCAATGATACGTTGAACAGGCGAGCAACCTTGGGGAGATAGGTTTAGGACTGTAGTTAGAAATTTAACAGTGTGAACTTTGTGTGATGACCCTCCGCATAATGAAATATCACTTTTTTATACCAACTACACATACTTAACTTCTTGCTCACAAAACAGAAACACCACAAAAAATTAGGGTGCAAACACACATATCTGCTAAAAATTTCAAGGGGAAAGGACGATATTTTTTAATACTGAGGTCTAACTTTACCTCAGAGTTAACTTTACAGACTGACTATAGTCGCCTGCAATTAGCATTTGGAGGAACTGTAAGTATTTGAAAATAAAGTGGGCAAAAAAGTGAAAAGAATAGTCTTTCATTAGTTTTTTTTTAATGTAGAGACAGGATCTCAACAAATAATCTAAACTGGTCTTCAACTTGGGGTCCTTCTGCCTGCTGAGTGCTGATATTGTAGATGTGCCACCAAGTCCCACAGAGGATTTTAGCACCAGCCTTTAGGCTCATTTATTAATTCTGAGTAAAAAAAATAGTACAAGGGGAAAGAAAATCTGGAAGAACAGATGGCTTTTCTTTTTAAGGAAAGAAATTAACAAAAATCTTTGGGTATATAATTCCCTGACTAGCGTTGTTACTTTACAAAACTTGATTGTATTGTTCTTTGGGATTTTAAGATATATATATATATCAGAGATTATTGAGTTCATCAATTAAGACGTGGGTGGAGCAAAAAAAATAAATCTCCCAACAAGTGCTCTGCTGGGATTTGGTGACATCTAGTGGCAGATTCAAGAGGTATAAACCTCACCCAGGGAACTTTCTGGAAAATTGACCGAATGCATATTTGCCTGAGGATCGCTATGCTTGGAGACTAGGCCAAAAGGTAGGTGAAGGTTAGAGCCCAGAAAAACTTGGAGGGGTCTCTATCATAGGTGAATTTAATTCTGTATGTTCGTATTATTTCTGCCAATTATGCAGTAAGTTTGGTGCAGGGCAAAGGGGAAGGTCTCAGTGATAGACAGGAGGGGAGTATACTTGGAAACTTTAAAGAAGTGCCCCTTTACTAATATAGTTTTGAATCTTAAGCATGCGAGTTTATTTTGGTGGAGTAAAATGTGAGAATAAAGAGCATCTATATAATCTAAAATTAAATCTGAGTGGAGTGGCGCATGCCTTTAATCCCAGTACTCGGGAAGAAGAAAAGAGAAAGGCGGATCTCCATGAGTTCCAGGCCATCCAAGATTATATTAGCGAGACCGGGTCTCAAACAACAGACACACACACACACACACACACACACACGTAAAAAAATTAAATCGGCGGGCCTTTTCTAACAAAAGCCCTTTACTTCTGTTACTAGTAATTTTCCTTAATTATTTTCCTTTCCATTAAAGCAGTTTGCAAACATTAAAAAAAAAAAAACAGCAATCCACCAATATAAAGAAAGATCAGGGCCCCTCCCG